GKTKKTKRWTKGRTAGTCCTGTCAGGGAATATTAATTAACAAATATTTATTTTGAAGTCTGAGACATTCAGTTGATAACGTTATCATTATACAGAATAAACTACCAACAGAACCAGACTACACGTACATTACAAAAGAACCAGACTACACGTCCATTACAAAAGAACCAGACTACACGTACATTAAGGTAATTTCTTGTTCATTCAGTTATTCATTCGCTACTCATTTCGCTGATTGATTGATAGATGAACTGATTCTTTGATTGATTGATTAATTGATAGATAGATCGATTGATTGATAGATGAACTGAATTTTACTCAGATATATCATGTATCAGTTATTACAAATCTGATCGTTAAGTTTCAGAAGACTGACATATTAGCGGGCAATTTGCAATGCCTCGAAATCGAGAGTTGCCARCTTTCACCGCCCATCTCGCCAGAGCAAGCAAAACGGTTGTGCAACAAACACCCAAGATGCAAGGGGTTTGTTTACCGGCCTCGGTCAGCTGAAATATTCTTCAAAAGTAATCTCTCAAAGGGGCTAGAAGGAAAAGCAGACATCAYATCATTTATAAAGAGAGATCATATCGGAGGTCTGGAAATACCGCAATCTACTTGTGCGGTACCGCTCAACAAAACAGCTTTAAGGAAAATTTCTCAGGGATGCAACTTGGCGGAGTTTGATCCATTTCATCCTTCTATAGTACGACTGATCAAAGTCCCAAATAAGTTGAATTGTCATGGTAAACCACTGACCAGTTATAGAAATAGCACCCTTGTTGTCAATAATAAAGGTGAGTGCTGGTGAGTGCTGAAGAGTCCTTGAAAAGCCATACTATATCCACAACAATACAACATACAATATTAAACTAATAAATAAATAATAATAATAATAATTAAAAAAAAGAAATCTCGGGCGATTGCTTAACTCACATGTCAATGAGCCAATTCGGTAAAATTTCTTTCTTTCTTTCTTTCTTTCTTTCTTTCTTATTATTGTTATTTTATTTTTTTGCTTTTTGTACCAGTTTGCAGGGTCAGCGTTTTAAATAGGTGTAAATCATTGTCTAGTTTTTGTTAGCCATCACGATATCACTGATTGTTGTTATCACATTGGTTTAATTATGTTGTCTTTATTTTCATGTTCAGACACAACAATCTCTGAAGTAGAATATTTTTCAATAACTCGAAAACCCGGAAGCGACTTTGAGTTCATCCGAGGTCCAGTGAYTTCGTTGGATCATAAAAAACAAACCGAGATAAAAGACGAGTTTATAGTCGTTAAAATAAAATCACAAGATGGAAAAGAAAACACAGAATTTCATGGAGCAGTAGTTCCCAARCCACATGTCATTTCTCGGACACGGAGCAGCACAGGAATCCCAGTAAACGTTATGATTGTAGGAATCGATTCGATGTCAAATGCCCATTTCCAACGGTCTCAACAGCAAGCTTATAAGTACCTGACTGACGACTTGAAGTCTATTGTATTGAAAGGATACACRATAGTTGGAGATGGAACGACACCCGCTCTGACTGCAATGTTAACCGGTAAGAATTCATGTTTATGAAAGGCATTTATTTTCCTTCTCATAAATCCCTCTATCACATCTTTCCATTCAACTGTAGTCATTCATTCATTGATTCCTTTACCGGTCAYTYTTTCGTTCGTTTGTTCATTTATTCATATATTCCGTATTTCAACCCATTTATTATTTTTACACTATTTCTTATTTTACTTTCTCTTTCTTTTATTTGTAGGGTACTTTGAGAAAGAACTTCCAGAAGCAAGGCGTGGTTATCCTGGCGCCCAAACTATCGACAACTGGCCGTGGGTCTTTAARGACTATCAAAAGTCAGGATATGCTACACTATTTAGCGAGGACGATCCAGGTATTGCTTCTTTCAACTATCGTTTAAATGGTTTCAAGGACCCGCCGACCGACCATTTTGGGAGGTACTTTTGGTTAGCTGCGAGAAAAACTAGTCGGTTTTGCATCCACAGCAAGCCACAACATTTGATTCATCTCGACTACTTAGAATCGTTCTTTGAAGCCTATTTGAAGACGCCTAAATTTGGTTTTGGATTTTTCTCTRCTGTTTCCCATAATAGTTTAAACAGCGCGTATGTTATGGCTGACGATTTTCACAGATTTCTGAAGAATTTTGAAACTCGACTAAACGACACAATACTTATCGTTTTGGGCGATCACGGGTTCAGGTATGGAGAATCTCGAGCAACACTACAAGGAAAGTTAGAAGAGCGTCTCCCCTTTTTGTCCTTTACTTTACCAAGCTGGTTTCAAAGTCATTATCCAGACATTGTCAGCAATTTACATCATAATGTTAAAGCAGTGACGTCACCCTTCGATCTTCACATGACTCTACGTCACATACTTTCATACCCGGATGTGCCCAAAGCTCCCGTGGGAAGACGGGGAAGTTCTCTCTTCAGAAAGATCCCATGGACACGTGACTGTGGATCGGCAGGTGTTAAGGACCACTACTGTCCTTGTTTAAGTCTGAAGACCGCTGACACTGAACACATTCATATACAGGTCGGCGCTATGGCTATTGTTGACTATATAAATACATTGTTGTCAGAAGATCCTCTTGCATTTAGCCTTTGCCATCAACTTAAACTTCATCAGATTCTTTCAAGTCGTCAGCAGATAGCAAACAACAAATTCCAACTTTTTTTGGGTTCGGCAGACATTCATGGCCGTATTCCTAAATTTTCCAATGACAGTTCTGAGATTGATGAGTGTAATTATCAAATTCAWATCCGAACTGTTCCTGGAGGTGGTTTGTTTGAGGCACCTGTGCGATTAAAAGGGGGGAAGTTCACAATAACAGGCGACATAAGCCGTATCAACAAATACGGAGATCAACCACAATGCATTCTGGACCATAATCGTGAATTGAGAAAATATTGTATATGTAAAAATATACAATGAATGTACCTATAAATGATTAGGTATTTCCTATCACAAACTGTGTTAATCAAAGAATGTTTAGCGTTTAATTATGATGAGTTTTTTTTACCAAAAAAACCCGGTTAGATTCATAGTATATGGTCATCAATAAATCTAAAGGTATTTTTATTAARATAATCCTGTTTCAGGCSAAATGACAATAGAATTAAGTMAAAAAACCGTGAAWTATACATTACATCTAGTACATCTCAGTACACACTATTTCAATTGTTTTCTTTTGTGTTTATTTGACTACTCAAACTTTAATAGTCAAGTCTTATTTTAACAGGTTTAATGACCTCATTCTAATGACAATAGTAATAATGTAATAATGCCAATCAACACGATCTGTTTGGTTGGATGATGTGATATTTAGGGGCTATTTCCATGAAAAACGTCTTGTCTAATCTACGCTATATTGCGGTATTTATCACTATTTGATGAGTAATATTTCACGCTTTCAGTGTTTACACTCTAGTCCACCCATTTTAAAGCCTTTTGACCACAAAAAGCGGAAAGATTAAATCTAGACTACTGGAGAGTTCTTCGTGACTCATCAATGATGTCATACATATGGCTGCCGTGAAAGAATATAAACACATGTGCTKAGATAAAAATCACAATATACACCGTATTAAAACATTCTTTTTATTATAACAAATTGGAATGTCATAACGAAGTACTATYAATAAAGATTTATAATAATAAAGATCTCTTTGAAAGAGATATAATAACAGCTGGAACCATAGTTAAGCAGAAAAATAAATAAATTATTAATGATGATGTTATTGTCTATTGCAACGTAACCATTACATCATAAAAATCCGTGTRAACTTGTTCCGATCAAAGCAACGCAGATTTAGCTGGCGTTTTAGAAATCTAAAAAAATATTTTGGTATATAATACGTTTATATCTGTAGATACAATATCTTAGCAAACCCTCTTGATAATTGCCTGTTCTTTGAAGTAAGACTAGTTTAAATTGGTTTTGGAAAACCTGCCTACAGGTTTGGCCTGGTTTTGAATWCCAGAAAAACGTCTATTTTGCGGGCACCTTCATAGTCACGGAGATATATCTATAGCACCCAAGACAATCACATGTGAAGACAAACTTGTATATTAGAGAAAATTCGCACAATTCTAATCGGCCGATCACMACTACTCACAGTGAGTGACATGGCAATGAATTAGAAAAAAAAAACAACAAAAAAAACAAAATAAAATACAATTTAAAAATGATTTTCATGGAACATTGGAAATACTCGCGATGACCAAAAAATCCTGTTATCGGGATTTTAAGTTCTGATTATACTTTGGGCCAATTAGATATGAATAAATTGCAATGAAATTATGAATAATGCGAGAAAGAGAGAGAGAGACTTATACATGTACTTAGATTTATCAAATTTTAGTGCCATTGCCCTTTATCGAGAGTGTGATTGAGTGGCTTTCTATAAGGATTACTAGTCATAAAAGTCGTTTGGACTTTAGTTTTAAAAGACAAATCTCAAAACTCGAAGATACGTGCATGAATGGAAAAATTCAGACYAGAACCAAGAGCATGATTATAAAGATTAAAATCTTTAGCGGTTTTATGCATGCTACAAAAACACGGATAGATTTAGTCTAGGCACGATGGTGTCAGATGTTACGCAGACTGTCTATTGGATAAAATATTTCAGTCACGTGTCAGCTCATTAGCATACCAAAGACCAGGACAGCACTCTTCAAGTAAATACTACATACATATCAAAAACCTTTGTCTTACTTAGATACTCTTCCATTGTTCATAATAACTACCAGAAGTCGAGTATCAAATTGCTTTTTACATTTCAGAACTCACTGACATGTGTCCTTGAATTCTATACTCATCTTCTTATAAATCCAAATCGGTTTATTTCAGCTCCTATATATCTGTGTCTGTCATCAAACCTTTAGCTTCAGCCGACTCGTCACTGTCTTCTGACTTTCCTTTTCGGGTTAGAATCGGAGATCCCTCGGGGGCAGACAATCTTTCGGAAACTTTTTCCTGGGTTTTAATATAATCTGTCCAYGGAGACACRTCAGAACGGTTCTTTTCAGGCCTAAAAACTGCTATGAACCATTTTGGGACATACAGCAGAACAAGGAGATTCACGGCGTGTAGAATACACATCAGACCTAACATAATTACTTTGGCGTGGTAGTGGACACCAAACGTGAACATGATGTAGAAGAAAGTAATGGCATACCAATTAAACATTGCAAATGAAATCCATTTCACCTCATTATTGTTCTCCTCCGAGATGATTTCATTAATGGAGAATACAGATACCAAAACAGCTAAGAACATGTGGAAAAACACAACTATTTCAAATTCCCAAGTGGAATGATAAGAGCACTCGAGGAATACAGTGTAGGGGTCGTCGGTCGGTAACCGACTCACCTGGGCAGGTTTCACTAATCCAAGTATTACAGCCAGTAAAACGTGCAACACGATTATAAAACATGCAATGCTGAGYCTTGGGGTGCAGCAAGCATTKCCATTCTCACTTTTGTCTTGGCATCGATTGTCAAAGAATTGTGACTTGGCAATGAGCACACTTAAAGGAATCCCCAGARCCACAAGGAAGAACACACGATAACCCTCACACGAAGCTTCAGTTGGTTTTCCAAGAAGTGGTATCGGTAAAAGGAACAAAAGAATAACAAACGGTAGAAGGCACAGGACACCACTTTTGGCTTTACGAACAATGGGTGTCTCTGAGCTCCTGAATAAGACCACAGCTATGTAGATACCAAAACACAGCCCAACGACCATTAAGAATAGAATAAACAAACTGCCACCGTGATCCCAGTGAACATAGTCCTCATAGAACGGAATGCATTTCAATTGGTCAACGCTCGGTCGATGAGTTATAGGACACTTTTTGCAATTAAGCAAGTCTTCTTTGTCAGAGTATTCACCAGCGGGACACTTCTTACATTCCCAACAGCATTCTGCACCCTGGCGATTTTCTTTCAAATGTCTATAGTAACTTGGGCGACAGACTTTGTGGCAGCGAGACTGAGGTGCTTTGCGAATTCCCCCATGCCACTCGATTCGACTCTCAGATATTTTTACGTTAGGAGAGGTTTTGGAGGAAGAAGTGTAAGTTCCGACGTCAACGGCTTTGAGATTCCTATTCAAATCAGTCGTAATTCTGCTGTAGTTTTGCTGGTAGTTGTAGACGTGGAAACTTGTGTAATTTAAAGTATGACTGGACGTAAAGCTTATACGAGAACCTGTAAGAGAATTAGTAAAGTCAACTTGTTGAACAAAGTCATTAATGGTCTTAGTGTTTTCATTGCAATCAGACGAGTCAGTACAAATCTGTTGTGCTTCCAATGCATGTGCAGCGGTCATAACGGCATCAATGGTGCATCCAGCATCACCAACAACATCAACCATCYTGTCAACAACTGYTTTTAACTTCCCTTCGTCCATCCCGCACATGGGTTCTTTGTCGTAATCACATGCTGCTGGAAGGGAGCCGTTAACCCCTCCAGAGGAATCCTTTGCAGCAGCCTGTCGAAGCCAGATGTTTTCAATTTTTTTAGTTCCAGAAGATAATCCTCGTAAATAATCCACAAACTTCGTAGTAGTTCGACGCGATATAATGTTAAACATGCCTTGGGCTGCAGAGAGTGGTAGAGGAATTGGCTTAGTGGTTGGCCAGGAACGTTGTCCAGTAATCCATGTCAAACCTTTGACTTTCTGACTTGACGCCTCTTTAAGGATCCGCCTAGTCAAATGACTTGAAGTCAGAGCTACAATCACTGAGAAGCCTTTCTGAGCGTTTAGTTTCTTAACAAAGTTTGTAACCTGTTGTTCATTTGCATCGCTTGGTAAACTATAAGTATTTCCGATGCAAATGTTTTGATTTGATGCTTCTTTTTTCATCTCAGATAATAAWTTTTCTGCACCATCGTCCAACACAACTCCAATATAGCTCCATTTGTTGAGAGCAATGACGCTCAAAATAGCCTTTATATTCACTTTGTCAGTCGGTTGTACGTGAAAAACTTTCTCTGAAAGTTTCGCCATTCCTCTGCTTGGTTGAACTGAAGAYGACTCGCAGCTTATGTGGGTAATTCCACGGCTTAGCAATAASAGGAAACTATCATCGYTCTTTTTTCCATGCTGAGGAAAATTACCAACGACAACAATCGGTGAATGGGTTTTCTCRGATGCAAGAATYAAAGTCCACATTGTTTTGTATGCCCCTCGTTTTGASGAGTCCCATATATCATAACCCAAGGTTACATTAATTCCATTGTCCTTGGCGCGTTTGTTAGCTTTCTTAACTGCGAAAAGAATAGCCTCCACTTTTAGCAATCCATTGATATCAATCTCCGCGCATGAAGAATTTTCTGTGACCACGCAAAGCTGTTCCACTGCTCCAATTTTAATATTTCCGGGGGCTTTCAGGTTTTCTAGGTTTCCTTGTACTAATCCTTGAAAATGACTTAAAATTATAAACGTTGATATCGCCACAATTCCAACAGATTCCACAATTTCTCTAACGGCCATGGCTTAACGTTATCAGTCACTTGGTTGACTGCACTGCCAAGCAACCACCASACCAGAGGAATGATAATTTCCTTCTTCGTTCTCCTCTTTACTCAATTCTAAAACAAGATTGAAAAAAATTAGTTCTATCAAAAGCAAAACAAACAAATTAGATAACACAGGCGACACAAATTCATCCAGCATGAGACATACTAAGCATACGCGGCTTTCGRTGCCGAGAATTTCGTTATAAATACACAAGTACGCACCGACAAGACAAAGGCAGCTTCTAATAATTACCGAAAAAGTGCTCTTGTAAATAAGACCGCAATGGCCTGCACAACAAAGCGCAGACAGACGCGTCGAGTGTCCAAAATGACCACCAGCACAAGTTAAAGGCCTTGCTGTACGTGGTCTTAACTGAGCAACTCTGACACAATCATTGTTAACATTTGCATTTAAACGCCAAACAACYCAGCTAGTATAATTATCATATTTGTGGATCTGTTCTCCAGAGCTGTTCCCAGCTGTCGAAATCTCTCTGAACCAAAAATTCCACTCATMGACGAGTCAGGCGAAGTGGAAATAGTACTCCACACTTGAGCCAAGAACAAAAGATTTTTGGTGGTGAAAACTGCTCAACGGCTGGGCAGATTCGAAAACGTTTTCCTAATGATAATACTTGGGTATTGTTTGACACTGTGACGATTTGATGTGTTGCAAGCCCACCTCTGGATTTATCTTTGAAATTATCGCAAAAAACGCATGGACACCACGGATACCATTGTTTCGATACCACTTGTAAGTGCTCACGTATGTCTGGATCAAGATTTAATTAACAGTTCGAACGTGTATTCATCTTCAAACCAACGCGTTAATATCGCAGAACGCAAATTGAATCATTCCATTGAACACAAAATCCGGTCTAAAAYGGCTGCCGTATATGCGAGGATATGACCATAGATCAAGAGGAAATCGTGAACAGCACACTAATCTGATCACATCCACGGCCCTTCGTTAATTTTTGACAACTGACAGAATGAAAAGCTGTAGTTTTGGTTAAATATTTATTTACAAATTGACTATCGGAGAAAATTTTTAAGTGTCGAAGATTTCAAATATAGTAATTGTTACCCCCTGTGTTATTTCATACAAGTTTTGTTCATCGTGTTTCGCTGCTCGTTACAAACAGATTAAACCWACAGTGACTTGTGACTGCGTGTTTTCTTTTTTTAGGCGTCGGTTATTGTGTCGGTTTGAAAACGTTTAAAAAATTAATTAAATAAAGCTTAAGCCATTCGACAAGACGAATGAACGTGGAGTCAAGAACACACTAAATATTTGGATATTCGATTCCTTTATACAAAACTAAGCACTCAATTGCTGACCGTTTTGGAAAATATGGTGTATGGTGTTTCTTTGTGGGGTGAGACATTGCTAATAGGTCACACATGATTTGCTACTTGACAAATTGAGGTGATTTCTCTAACGAAGAAAACCTCGTTATGGCTTTATAAATCATTATCAAACAAATCCTACAAGCAATATCGACTAGCGAGGATTTGATTTCATAACAAAAGTAATTATCAGCAACGATCTTGTTTACGCTGTGCTGGCGWAAAATATGCAAATTGYAGCGGATGTTCAATGGACGGCGCTTTGAAGTTAAAATATATAGTCACGTGACWTATAGTACAGAAAAAAATCTAGTATCTTCGCTTCCTTACATGGAAAACATATGATATTGTGATAAGGAATAAAGAACAACGCCTTGCTATACTGCTTGAATTAGTCGACAGTATAGAAGAATATAACAAAAATGAAAACAGCTTTTATGAGAGATGCGTGATACCATATTCGTGCATAATTTCTACARTACATCTCGATAAGCGAAAAGAGTCAAAAAGCTGGGTCAATAATTGAAAGCCAAAAATAAAAAAAATAAAAATGAGGCCAAGCTGAGAACGACACGAAAACCCAGAAAGTCAAGATAATGGAATCTAGATAATTATAAATGACAGAAAATACGAGAAACGGTGCCAAATGCCGGCTTATTTAATGACTAAAGAATTGAGCTATTAAAAACGCTGAAAACTAAAYATGTTGGATGGCTATTTTACAAGGCTTAAAAGTATTTCTTTAGGTGTTGAGAACTATACTTATATGACAAAGGGCCATAGGGTGTTTGTGTTATTCACGGAGTGCCACATGTCATTATGAAGTACTTCAATTCGTGTGGATTGCCATACTAGAGGTTGGGAGCTCTCTCCACGAGCGATTGAAATTGGTTGTTTCAAAACAGTCGTAACCAGATTACTTGCAGATGTTTTTAGGAAAAGATCGTTGAATACGAGTCGGCGGTGAGAAGACATAAATAGAGGAGTCTGTTTGGAGACGAGAGCGATAAAATCCTTGAGTTTACGAGTATTTCTGGAGAATATAATAAWGACTATTTTCGTAGACACAAATCTAGAACATTTCAAAGATAAAAGAATGATTTTTTTAAAGGATAGTACTTGACGATGTGTGCTTGTTTATCAAGAGTACGTCAAGTCATCGCCAGAACTGTCAAGTTTAGTGTAAAAGGTTTTGCGATGAAAAAAAGCCAAACAGAAAAACCTAATAAAGTACTTAGAACATAGCTAATCGAACTTGTTGTACAGAATAAAAGTCAGTATTCAAATGAGCAGTGAACAACAATAAAATCCAGTTACCGCAAAAAGAGAAATATCAAATATTTAAAAACTACATGTGAATAATGACCCTGTTTCAAAACAAACAGTTTGATCCAGACATCATCCTAATAACTGGACGAAAACCTTATCGAAACTAGATTGGAAAAGATGAGATCTAAGAATGAAATAATTTAAACTGAACTCACCTGCGTCTAGAGCTTTCAACATCCGCAAGGATTTTACCTAGGTGATTATTTTTGAACCTAAATCGATGTCAGTGGACCTAAAATAGACACTTTAGGAACACCCTCCCACGCAGAAGTAGCTCAAGACCGTGTTGCCATGACAACCGCTCATTTATGCTGCCTCCTTTAAATACGAAATGAAACAAATTCCTAATTATTGTGATTTGAAAGTAAAATTTAGTGTAATTGATGTAGAAATAACCCATTTGATAAATGGATTTAGTGCCCGCCAACCTACTTTGATGAGCACTGTATTTGAATTTCAATTCATGAAGTCTAAGACCTCGTAATGGAGTTTAACGTTTCAAATGTTAATAAAAAAAAAGTCTGGTCGTGTACTTAAGAAGTGTTTGTTTTGCAATTGAAAAAGCTGAGGATGAATTATATAGTTTAAACTCCGTTAGGATTTTCAATGTACATTTTGGTTTTAAAAAAGATGAAATTATTATTTAGAGAAAATGCAATTACTATGGCTGTTAGTAACTCGAAATCCGGCTTTAGATTGTAAATATGATTTTAATGATGCAACCAGCGGCATTCATGATTCCATGATACATCTAATGCAAAATAAACATTTGTACGTAAGAAAATAACAAAGTTTTGTAGTAAAAAATAATATTCTCTCAAATATGAGGCAATTCCGCGACCTATTTCAACGTTTGAACTCGGAACCCATTTTATAGCYAAGTATTTTCTAAGCAGGAACGATCGTACCCACGAGAAACCCTTTTKAACTCGACTGTGTTATCGTCGACTTTTATCTTTAAAACTGAAAATTGAAGTTGACTTTTTCCTCCGGCAGCCTTAGTAAATATCACGGTAAAGTTAACTCGATGATCCAAACAGAAAATCTCAGAATTCAGCAAAGAAAAATAATTCTGGACTGTCTCAGAAAGCGGCGAGGAAGTTAAATCGACACTTAAGCTATACACCAACGCACGCCTTTAAATCATGAATAAATAGCTGAAGTAATGGTTTGAAGGGTGGAATTAAGACATGCCAAGCTAAGCTTCACGCATGGTATAATAAATCATTCCTTATACTATAGTTGTCTACATTTGTCGTTCATTTAAAAACGTAGAAGAAGAAAGTAGTGGAATGCCTGCGGCAATATGCAAACGTGATTGACGTTGAAAATCAATTTAGTAGTCAATATCATTGCGTTATACTTTTGTCGATAATGTATTTCTGACGTCGAGGAGTAGGAAAGTGTTGTTTTACATTAATGACTTTCAATTTTAGCTAGATTCAATTTCAACGGCCTTGTTTGTCGTATTCTAAAAATACTTACAATACGCACTGCTTTGAGTAGAGGGCGTTTTCACCTGGGGTGACGCATACGTGAGTCATTCAATCTGTTGTAAACACAAAAATTTTGGTCCCTAATCTTGAAAGTATTCTTCATGATACGAGACTTTAACAAATAGTGACAAAGATTGACATTATGCTATAAATACTGCCCTAAATGATTGATATTGAGATTATGTACCATCATATACTACAATGATACCATGATGTACTCCTACATTTAGTATTTCGATAATACCTTCTTTATTATATTCAAAATACTTGCGTCTTTTGTCACTTGCTGTAGACATTTGGGGTCTAAAAACCATCTGCTTCTATAATTTATCAAACTTCAGTCAAATTTAAAAGAAAACGAATCCCAGCGAATGACAAGCTCAAAGCATAGCCAATATGATATATAAAACATGCTTTTTGATTTTAACAAGTTTGTTTGCTCTATTTTTGACGTTTGATTTCTCAATCACTAAATTGATGTGAAGTTAAGTGAGTATATGGGTTGGTAATATCAAATATCAATGTATACCAATTTTTGTTGCTTTTTTTYCTTTTGTCCACCTTTCTTTTAAAATTATTTATAACACATTTTTATTGATATAAAGTTGTCAGGTTTTGCCGAAATTCATTTATAAAAGTTATTACCCCTACAGATATCGACATCACAATCTTTATCAGCATTTTTAACATTATCATCCTTGATAAGATCGTCATCGTCCTTTTTATGATTGTTATCGCAATTTTTTGGCTTTATATCGTATTGCTATTATTGTTTATCAGTGAGCTTTACACTAATCCAAGGTCCTGCCCACAAATGATCAGCCGGTCAGCTCTCGGTTTATACGGACAACTCGCCTTACGACCAACTCGCCTTACGGGCAACTCGCTATTACGGGTATACGGAAACGCTTGCCGGCGGAAACTCAGCGTC